ATGTTGTGAGTTGAGCGAAACTTAAGTTGGGTAAATATTTACTTTATTCAACAATGTTTCTAGTGAAATGGCTTTTTCTTACCCATGGATTGGGAGGTCCTTGGGGTACTCCACCAAAGGAGCCCCTCTGTGTGGGATCTGGGGTAAGACTTGACGCTTTGGTGAGGAGGCTGAGCCCTCCATGTGAGTGACCCTGACAGCTGTGGGTCCTGCTGGATCTTGAGTCAGGGACTGGTGGCCCATGATATGTTTCACTGTGGGAAGAGAGAGACCTCTGTAATCCCCTTCTCCCTTGACTGGAGGTGAAGTCTCTTCCAGTTAACGTAGAATTCACCTTGCTTACTTCCCTCCTAGGGGTTTTCCTATGGGGAAAACCAATTTGTTCTCTGCATCTAGGAAAGTACTGTGGTATTGCAGGTAGCTCTGTGTGGTAAGTGTGAACAAATATTGTGTTCCTAATGACAACCATTGTATTTGTTGTTTATGATAGATGTCCTGTTGTGGCACCCATAGACCATGGTCAGCATTGGGGCTCCATTGTGCTAGGTGAGGCAAGCAGGCAATCGGAGCCAGTATCTCTGGCAGTACATAAAATACGATGACCTTAGCACTGTTGTATGACATACAGAATGGAAATGCAAACAATGTGGGCACCATGCATGGCTATACGAACAAAAAAGAATGTGGACGCTGTAGGCACATTTTTCTTTCTGTCTACATAATTATGTGCATGCTTGTATGTACATGCACCTCTGTGTTAAAAAAAAAAAAAAATCATTATGGGTGCAAATTCAGGCAGGAAATGTCAGAATGTAGGGTGCTTATGCAAACTTAATTCAGCCCCTTTGTACTCTGTGTTTTAACTACACAATCCCACACTTTTTGTTTTTTCCCCATAGGATCCCTATCTTGTTAGGTGCACAGGATGGATGGAGCAGCTGCTTTATTCAGTTTTCTCCTCACTGTTCAGTCTGTGGCCCTGTGCTTTATTTGCTGCATCTTGTTCCTGAAGACAGAATTCATAATTTCTTTGTGGGCTCTTCCCTTCCACTCATCACTACAATACTTCAGTGCTTCATGGTCAGTGTTCCCTCCCACCCCCAGCATTCCTGTGAAATTTGGAGGTTGTGCTTTCTGCAACTGGGGCTGGTAGCTTCCTCCCTGACACTTCTAGGTCAAACATATAGGAGCCCCTAAGAGCACAGCAGAGAGAGGGTCCCTGGTTTCAGTTCTAGTGCTCATCCTCAGCCCAGCCCAGTGTAGCCATTACAGTGAAAGTCCAGCTTCACCTCTGTACTCCTGGGCTAGACCCCGTTTAGCTATTCTGGGGAAATGTGCAATCAAGTCAGCACTAGGAATTGGAAGAGGCTCAAGTGTGCTTACTGCATACAGATTCTTCAGATTTCAGAGGGACCCCCTCTGTCCCTTGACAGAATTACAACTGAAAAGAGGGTCTAATGTTAGAAGTATTAGGCATTCACATGAGTTGTGCTTATATAATGTCTATTGTAGGAGGAGAGTTAGAAAGAAGGGGGGGGTGTATGTGTCCGTGCATGCATGTGCCTGCACATGATGGAAAAGGAGGAAGCAAAAGAAAGAGAAGGGTTAACTTTGGAGAGGATTAAATCTAGTAAAACAGCTCTGAGTTGTTTGTGTAGTATCCCTCATTGACTGATGTTTTGAGTTTGGCTAAATAATTTGGTACCTGGTTTTCTTTGAAAGAATCTCAGGCTCTTCTGTCAAG